AAAAAAGTGGCACTTGGGAATTAACTAAGTTTCCTAAAGTGAAGACAACAGTGGGATGCAAATGGGTTTTGACCAAGAAATATAATCCAAATGGCTTCGTAAGCAAGTATAAAGCAAGGCTGGTTGCAAAAAGTTATGATTAACAATATGGAATAGACTATTAGGAGACATTTGCTCCAGTTGTTAAGTTTAACACAATCACATTATTTCTCTCTCTAGCTGCTAACCTTAATTGGCCCTTACATTAATTAGATATAAAGAATGTGTTTCTTAGAATAAGAGACCTATATGGATGTTCATCCTGGATTTAGCGGTAGTGAAAATAAAAGCAGAGTTTATAGACTTTAAGTCATTGTATGGTCTAAAACAATTAACACATGCTTGGTTTGAAAGGTTCACTGATGCTGTAAAGAAAAAGGGTTACAATCAGTGTCAAGCTGATCATACCTTATTTGTTAAACACACTGGTGGAAAATTAGCCATCTTAATAGTTTATATTAATGATATAATTATTACAGGGAATGATATTGATGAATTGGAAAACCTAAAAAGGTTCTGAGTTGCAGAATTTGAGATCAAAGATCTTGGATCTTTACGTTATTTTTTTTGGTCAGACAGTACATGTTTAGATTCTTTGCTCTAACTTTGAGCAATCATATCTCTCAGCACACACATTAAGTTTAAGCTATCTACTACTTGTTTTAAAATTTAGAAGGTGTACTTGTTGCTCACAAAATGTCATGAGCAGATTCATTCATTTGCTATACTTTTACTCTGTTTCAATTTAATTGCTCTTTATGGGATGATTTATCTCCTTATTTGCATTATCATACTACAAACTTCCTTTATTTTGCATGCTATCATTCCAACATACCATTGATCATTTCCATGCATCATCTCTCATTCATACATGCTAATATCATCATTAATCTTTACATAGCATGATAGGCATGTTCATTACATATGTTATCATAAGAATTATATATCATAAATAATGTAGTACATTACTCAATCTCTTCTCTTTTTCTTGATCCCACATCTTGCACCCTCTTTTGCTTGCTCATAAACCTATTATGGTTGGTTAAGAGAGGGTGTGAGTTGAAAGAATCTTATTAGCAAAATAATAACTACCCTGACATACATGACAAGCTTAGCATTCATAATATGCTTACAACTTAATATTTTTATAACATAATAACATGTTAAAAAACCATCATGAATTTATCATAAAACACATAGACCTATGACATAATTTAAACATATTCACATTTACAATACATAAGTTCATTAAATCACATAAGCATAAAAACACAACGTATATGCAAGCACACACCAAATACATAAGAATGGGGTAAAGTTTACTATCTTTAACCTTTTACATTCAATCTTTCTTCTTGCTCCTTTTGCTTCTAACTATTAAGGTTACTTAATCAACCTTTCCACTTATCTTCATTCATGCCTCATGGCCATAAACTCATCAACTTATCAGTGTCATTCATTTACTATAGCTATGGAATTAATGACATTCATACACTTTAACTTTTAACTTTTGAGCTTCGATTCCAATCTTTTTAAAATTAATTCTGCGTGCTGTTCCCTTATAATTCTACATGTAGAATTCAATTTCAAACTCAAAATCAACAAAATCTAACTCCTTCCCCTTCACCTCAACTTTGCCGAAACATATAAGGTTTTGGCTTTAAAATTCTATTTTCAATTTCAGTGCTTTCAAACTTGTTTTCTCACATTTACCCTACACGATTTTTCATTTTAAATATATTAAAAATATCAAAATTATCAAAATCCAATCCTATCAAGAAGCCTAGGTCTGGCCAAATTTGCACAGAGGTTAGGGGAAAGTTGGATTCTTTCCAATTTCACTGTAGATCCACGTGATTTATAGTCTTTTCTAGCTTTAAAACATGATTCCATAATCAATCAATCTTTTTCATGGCTTAATCAATATTGGATAGCATAAACACTTAGGGTTTTTTGTTTACAAATCTCAACAAAAATCATAACCAAGCTTTGTAAGACATAAAACATCATAAACTACGTTGAAAATCATGATCTTGTCTTGAAGCTTGGATTTTTCTAGGACTTGAAGCTCTTATTCTTCTTCTCCTTTTTCTCCCTAAATAAATTTATTTAATGCTAGGGTCCATACATATAAGAATAAAAAATAACTATAAAATTTAAAAAAATGATGAATCTAGATAAAATAAATCTAATCTAGATAAAACCAGATATATTGTTTGATTTTATATTCCTAAAAATATCTTACAGAAAAAAATATTGAAATAACAAATTAATATTAAACTAATAACAAACTAATGGGTCTTTAAGGGGCTTTGATTTTCTGGACATCATTCTAGATATACAAGTTTAGCTATCATTCCGGTTCTCAAAGGTTAAATCAATTAACACCTAAAAGCCATAAAGCTCAACTCAAAGACCTAGAGAAAAGATATATGAGAAAGTAGAAGAGAAATGGAATGTGAACTCCCTTAATTAGCTCCGAGCTCAAGCTGCCATCTAATGCCTGCAGAACCTCGAAGTTAGCCACAAATCAGCTCCATGGAGGCTTCACAAATCTCCTTGAACGGATCGGCCATGGACGAGAAGGGAGGAGATGCAAAATTGGTCAAAAGTTGAGCAGAATTTCGGTTTGCTGCAGAGGACAGGAGAGAGGTCGAGAGAGAAGAGAAATTTGGCAAAAAGAACAATGAGATGACAATGGGTGATGAGCTCTTCTAGAAAGTGATCTACTTCCCTCTTAATGCCAGCTAGAACCAAGAAAAGGAGAGGAAATTTTTGATTTGAACTTGCTATCCTAAACCCATGAACAATAGCGCTAGCTCTCAGGTTTTAATAATCCAAACACACCATTTAATCTAGCTGCTTGTCCTTGATCATATTTCCTTCAACTCGAACTCCCTATCTTTTTTTTCTTCAACGTTTGTTAATTAATTTATCCAAAATGCCTACAGCATAAACCACTAAAATGTAATATCTAATATCACAAAAATCAAGTGCTTAATAGAAAAGATAAAATCATGCCGTCTTTTACCTCTTTTTAACTCAAATTCCATGTAATCACTTTAAGCACACTTAATCACAATGGCTACATGTTTTACTTCAATAAACGCAATAAAATCCCCATATAATGTGCGCAAGGTCATGATAAAATAGAGGTTTGTCACTCCATCGAAAAAAGGAAGCAAGTTGCAACAGGAGTGGGAAAATTAAAAACCAAAGCAGGTCATCATATGGATCGACACAGTCTCGTAACTTAAAAGAAGCACGGCCCATATGCATAGGCTACTGTTCATAGAACAACAAAAATAGAGATGAGCCGCACCCCATATATAAATGGCTCAACTGAAACTTGATTTTGTTTTATATGTTATATTGCTGCAACCTCAAAATGGGAGAAATCTTCTTGTTTCCATCTTATCAAGCTTGAATTTGAGGAGTTGGACTTGGGAGTATAAACCATTTGTGTGCGCGCGCTTGTGCGTGCGTGTGTATATATGTGTGTCTGTATATAACACCACCGGCCCATTGTTTTGCTCCTTGTTCTAACTATTGTGCTAGTGATTAAGAGTTTCCTTGAGAAGTAGCTCCAGAGTGCTATCTCGTAAATTACACAGGATTAACGAAATGAGTGTCAGAGAAAAAACCCGAACACCTTGAGTTGAATGAATGAAAAACTATGATGGATATCAACTTTGTATTTCAATGCAGCTCTTAGGCAGAAGTCAAAATCATCACCTATTTTTAAGTTTTTTTAGCTTCGATTGACCATGTCATCTGACATCTGAAGCTGTAGTTCTCTTCTTGGTGGCATTCCCTTAAGTCTCCAAGGCCCTATAAGTTTGTTTTTTTTTTTTTTTCCCCGAAGTATAAATATCCTCCTATTAAAAGTAATCCTACTCAAGGCGTTCTTTTAGTGAAAAATTAAAGCTTAGTTCGCCATATTGTGAAAGACTAATCTGTTTTTTTTTTTTTGAACCCAACCCTTATACCATAGATAAAAAGTTAAAACATAATGCTCTTTGTACAAATGAACAACAACAACAACAAGCCTTATCCCACTAGGTGGGGTCGGCTACATGAATCACATGACGCCATCGTGCTCTGTCAACAACCCAGTCCTTAAATATGTTGTTGACTAGGAGGTCTCGTTCAATGACCTCATTAAGCATTCTTCTTGGTCTTCCTCTGTTTCTTTTTATGGGACTCCATCTTGTCTGATCCACCCTCCTCACCGGGGCCTCCAATGACCTTCTCTGCACATGTCCAAACCATCTTAAGTGATTTTCAACCATTTTCTCTGAATAGGTACCACACCGACTCTTGCTCTAATATTTTCATTTCGAATCCTATTTTTTCTTGTATGACCACACATCCATCTCAACATCCTCATTTCTGCTACCCCAACTTTGTGCTCTTATTTTTCCTTTATTGCCCAACATTTACTACCATACAACATAGCCGGTCTTATAGCAGTCCGATAAAATTTTCCTTTAAGTTTCTCAGGTACCTTTATTGCCCAACTTTGTGCTCTTGTTTTCCCTTTATTTCTCTTTGTACAAATGAAATTGAAAAGATTTTCTAATTAGCCTTGTATTGCACTAGCACTCCTGTTCTCTTCCTGGCACGATAACTAAACTGACAGAGAGTAATTTGGGCCAATTTAGACCCAATTGATTTACAAATGACTAGCCCAAAAAAATTACTCATTTTAGAATATTTTTGCACATGCCTAACACATCCACAACAAACACAAAATCTCCTAGGATTCTCAAGGAAAAAGGAAATATATACCTTGACATTTGATCTTAGCTAAAGAACATAGAGTCAATTAATCATAGTAAAGTTTGATAATTCAACTTTAATCTAAACTCAATTTTTGAAAACGCTAGATTCATCATATTTGAGAAAAGATCCAATCAAGTCACCTGAAAAATTGGCAACTTCTAAAGTGTAATAATCCATAGCCAAAAGAACTACTTATTCCTTATTTATATCAAGCATATTGTAATCTTCATTACAAGAGAGCAAAATCTTACAAAATTAGATGATATTTACATTCAAATTACACGATGACGAAACTATTTTTTCATTCCTTCAAAAAGAATGCCTTTACATAAGCTTCGGGATGGTCTCAAGAACCATAGATTGCTTGTTGTTGTAGACAACCATAAGTAAAAATATTCATGACAGTGTGTAAAGGTTAGAGGCACTATATATATATCCACCACATGCCACGACCCACGCATAATACATTGAACATAACACAAACCATGAAAGGCAACACAACTTACCTCCATTACTAGTGCTAGAATGAGTCATTTGAATGCCATTTCAACCTGCCTGGCTGTCTTTTCCACTGCCAGCCACCATTCTTCATCTTCGTCATCAATGATCTGCTTTGGAAACCAATTTGATGGAATCAAATCAATCATCAATTAATATTGCAACTTCATGTGAACTTATATATATCTATATATATTAGCCATATATCTTGCAAGCTATCTTGTAATTAAATGAATATCACTCTCATCTCCTCTACAATACTTGCTATGTAATCTTAGCTACAACATATTTAACGGCCAGAAAGGAATTTGTTTGTAATTGGACAAAAGATAATTTCTTTTTCTAACCACTTTTCCACCATATTTCCTTCTATATATTAAATGGGCTCCAATATTAATGAGGTTGTTGCAAAGTCCATCTCACCTTTTTGTGGAGTTAAAAGGAAATTCAAATAACGCTTATTTTAATTCAATGTAGCCTCTTGGAATGTAGAGAGAAAAATTCCATTAATTCAATATTGTGTTAGGGTTTCTCCCAAGATTTTGTCCCCTCCTCCCTACATTATTTAAAGGGAAAATTGGGGAAAAGTCCCCATTTGAAAAATATATTAGTAAATAGGACCTGACAATTTGTCAACTTTTAAGGTCCTTCAATAAAAATAAATTTCAAAATGAAAAGACCAAAATACCCTTAATTGCACATACTGGGAGTTTATTTGCACATAAAGAATATATGTTGCACATTATTGGAGTTTGATTACACCTAACCTAAATTGCACATAATGGAAAATAATCGAACAAGGCAAAAACTCAGTTGCACATAAGAAAGATATATTGCATGCAAAAAAAAGTCAATTGCACTTAACTTATAAATTACAAATAATGGAAGATAAAACACATACACACATAAAGATATATTACATGTAAGGCAAGTTAGATTGCACCCAACATGCTTTGAACATAATAAAAAATAAATTACACATATGAGAAGTTTAGTTACACACAATAAAAATATATTGCATGCAAGGAAGTTAGGTTGCATAGGACATGTTTTAAGCATAATAGAAGATAAATTGCATATATAGGAAGTTTAGTTGCACATAGGAAAGATATATTGCACGTTATTGAAGTTTGATTGCACCAAACCTAAATTGCACATAATCCAAAATAAATTGCACAGATTGAGAATTTAATTGCATGTATGAAAGATATATTGCACATTATTGAAGTTCAATCGCACATAACCTAAATTGCACATAACGGAAGATAAATTACATAGACTAAGAATTAAATTACACATAGGAATGATATATTGCACATAAAGAAAATTTAGTTACACCTAACCTAAATTGCACATAATAGAAGACAAATTACACATATGAGAGTTTAGTTGCACACAAGAAATTATATTGCACGCAAGGAAAATTTAGTTGCACCTCATATAATTTGCACATATTGCACTTATGTTCTAAGCATGTTGTGTGCAATCTAGCTTGCCTTACCTATAATATATCTTTATTATGTGCAATTAAACTCCCCATATATGCAGTTTATCTTCTATTATGTGCAACTTTAGGTTAAGTGCAATTAACTTTTTCTTACGTGCAATACATCTTCCTTACATGCAATATAATTCCTTGTGTACAACTAAACTCCTCATATGTATAATTTGTCTTCTATTATGTGCAATTTAAGTTAAGCGCAACTAAATTTTTCTTCTGTGCAATACATCATCCCTGTGTGCAATTTAATTCTTAGTCTGTGCAATTTATCTTCCATTATGTGCAACTTAGGTTATGTGTAATTGAATTTCAATAATGTGCAATATATCTTTCATACGTGCAACTAAATTCTCAATCTATGTAATTTATTTTCGATTATATGCAATTTAGGTTTGGACAGTCAAACTTCCTATATATGCAATTTATCTTTTATTATGTTTAAAACATATCCTATGCAATCTAACTTCCCTTGCATGCAATATATTTTTATTGTGTGCAACTAAACTTCTCATATATGTAATTTATTTTTTATTATGTTCAAACCATGTTGTGCGTAATCTAACTTGCCTTACATGTAATATGTCTTCTTATGTGTAACTAAACTTGCCATATGCATTTTATCTTTCATTATCTACAACTTATAAGTACAACTAATTTTTTCTTATATGCAATATATCTTTTCTATGTGCAACTAAATTTTTGCTCTATGTAATCATCTTCCATTATGTGCAACTTAGGTTGGGTACAATCAAACTCCAATGATATGCAACATATATTCTTTATGTGCAAATAAACTCCCAGTATGTGCAATTAAGGGCATTTTGGTCTTTTTATTTTGAAATTTATTTTTACCGAAGGACGTCAAAAGCTGACAAATTGTCAAGTCCTATTTACCAATATATTTTTCAAATGGGGACTTTTCCCCAATTTTCCCTTATTTAAATTTACTTTTGTTTTCCCTGTAATTTTTTGCCTCTGTGTTCATATTATTTTTCATGCAATATTATTTGACATTTTTTGAAGCTAAAGAGAAAATGCAATTAAAAGAAAGAGACAAATTGAAACAAGTAATCAATTAACATACTAACCATAGTGCTGAGTTCGGTCTTCTTTTGCTTATTCTCAACTTTTTCAACAGCTTTTAATGCTTCTAGCCACCAAGAACCACTGGGACTGTCCGTGATATTGTCATTGTAGGAAGGGGATTTCCGTGCCTGATCATTGTTAAGAAGTGGATGCCTTCGTTCATCATTTATTGACTGCCCATTATCAACCATCCCAAATGAATTAAATTCAACTGAAGATTTATAGATTACATCAACTGGTAGGGGTCGCGAGGGAGATCGATAACCTGGTCCCATTAAATCACCTTGTTAAAAGGAAGAAGTGAACTTAAGTGGATGTTAGAGAAACTAACTTGGTCACTGAATTGTTAAGCATATTAAGATTTATTCGCCACAACACGGTGCATCGTAAGTTAGCCTCCAAAAAACAACAAAAAGACTCACATCCCCCGTTCCATATCTATTGTTACAGACTTTTGTTTTGTTTCATAATTGCTCCTTCCTTTCCTAAATATAATGGTTGAAGAGTTTGTTTTGGGTCTAAATGTAAAATCCCTATCTCATTTGTCTCCCACATTCATTATTTTTTCTTCAAACCATCTCATCAATAGAACACAGTAAAGGGGTAGTTTCTCTTTTCAATATGAATGGTTAAAAAGATTGGTATTTTAGAGAAACTAACATATCTAATTCTTAATTGTTTTAGAAAGCAAAGCCATAGCCAACTGTTTTTTTCTTTTTTTAGGATATCCCCTTGTTTAACAATTTTAGTTCTCTCTCATTAACTCTTCTTTTCACCTACCATCTTTTTCTGTTAATCTTTTTTTTTTTTTTTGTGGTTCCTTCCTCATGAAGGAATTAAATCCATTGATTTGTGTACTATCATCTTCAACAAGATGCATTTATTAATTTTCAAAGAATAAAGTTAAACAAGCCCAATGATTCAAGGATCAAATTGTTTTTAGGCCTAAAAGGATCAAATCATTAATTTACTGTGAAACAAGATGGTATGCTAACCTCTGCAGTCCGGATCATGACATTTCTGATAATACATTGCACTTCTTAGATCAACAACATACATCACTGACCATCCAAATATCTCATCAGTAAATTGCAAACTTAGACAAAACAATCAAATGAAAGACAAGACTTCCATACATCATGAGCATAGAGACTAAAGAAATATTGAGCTTTTCGAACATAAAAGTGTGATCATATGACATTTGAGATGAAAAAATTTGACTCACAACTAAGAAGAAAAAAAGAACCATTAGATGCAAATCATATTGTTGATGAATAAAAACTTACCATGATTGCTTTTATGCTCCCTCCCAATTCGTTCACAATATCGATTCCTTGACATGCTATATACCATCAGCCCAAATTCTGAGAACCAATACCAGGCTCGAATTTTCCCTAAAATTGCAGGAAGGCATCAAGTTGAGCAAGTATATTCCTAGTATACAACTTGACAACTAAGCTATAGCATGATATAAACTTGGATAAGATTGATAATAAAAGGAAGAGTTATAGTTGTTCAGGGAAATGTAGACATCGCAATAACTGTCCCCTATCTTAGACAACAAACACATGAAATGAAAGCTAGGGTTAAATTAAAGGAACTCCCTTGACTTTCAAGAGAATAAGGACTCTCCGAACAACACTAAACCTTGCCTAAGGCATTCTGTTGAAGCAGAATAGCTCCTAGCGCCCCCTGCTCCATTAATTCTCTCACTTCAAGAAAACAGAGAATAACTGCTTTGGTCTAATTCTCCTTCCTACGCCCTAGCACCACCATGAGTAGGAAAAACTTAAGAAATCCCATTGGTCTTTCTTCTCTCACAAACCTCTCCCCACCTCCTCCTGCAGGCTTTGTAGAAGCCCTCTTTGTATGTATCAGCCCATGTCAGCATGAGGCTTAACAAAACATGAAGCCAAAAGCTAAATAGGATGTAACTTCCACAGATTTTCGGATGTTGAAAGTGGGCTCATTCTCATTAGGCCCAAACCGAAGATGATCCAACTCCATTATAATTAATTACACTCTTTTTATTTAGCATTATATTTTGCTTTTTATTTAGGAATTTAAATAATTCTTCCAGGTTTGTTGTGATTAGTTTTTAGGATTGATTTAGATAAGATTATATGCGATTTTATCGCACCTTCTTCTCCTATATGTATCGACCATCCTAGTTGAATAAACATTCAATTTTCGTGTTCGACTTCCATCATGGTATCAAAGCAATGGCTTAGTCCTTTAGAGACACGGTGGTCGGACCATCACGAGTCTTCACCACCTACAGCGATTCTACCAGAATCTGTCAAGAAGTGCAGGAGACTCCCACGCGATGGCCGAATCCAGAGGAAGCCCTCAATCTAGAGCGTCGTGTTCGACAGGAATAATTCTCGCTGCTGACTCCTCATAGACGATGATTACTCACCGATTAAATGGCAAAAGCTATCTACAATGGTCCAGGAATGTTTTGATGTTCATAAGAGGACGAAACAAGGAACATTACTTGACATGGGCCTCGAAACCACTAGAACCAGAGGACTCGAAGTATGCAGCCTGGTGCGCCGAAAATAATTTGGTGATGACATGGTTGATTCATTCCATGAATACCGAGATTAGCGAGAATTGTCTCCTGGCCAACTCTGCTCGAGAAATATGGGAATCGGCCAAGAGCACCTTCTCTACCAAAGATAACACAGCAGCACTCCTTCGAGTAAAGCGAATGTTACATCTCTACAGGAAAACAAATTGTAGACATGATAACCAAACCATTGGTCAAAGCCAAATTCGAAGAGCTTACAAACAAGCTGGGAATGATCAAAATCTATCTGCCAGCTTGAGGGGGAGTGTTGAAAGTGGGCTCATTCTCATTAGGCCCAAACCGAAGATGATCCTCCTCCATTATGATTAATTACACTCTTTTTATTTAGCATTATTTTCTGCCTTTTATTTAGGAATTTGAATAATTCTTCCAGATTTGTTGAAAGAGCAAGACTAAAAGTAGTAAACATAGTTGAAACAAAATCAAACTTGTAATTTGTCCACTAACTAATGCTCACATGACCAGAGTCAATACTACAAACTTTAGAAGTATCACCTGATATATTCCCAACAGAGGCAATGGACTCTACAAATTTATCTAGAAATGGGAATGGTGATCTTCCCACAAAGTATGCTTCTGGAATGTCGCTTTCACAACTATTTGATGTAAATTCTGGGCGATATTGATGACAGTGTTCATGATTATAATTCACCTGTAAAAATAAAGTTCCCATTGTTCATTATAAAACAAGGGTTCTCATGGTCTTAAAAAAAAAAAAAAGGACTGATATACAAGAAAGCCATTATCATGTCCAATTATGCAAAATGTAAATGTCAAAAAATGCAGAAGTCAACAGAGCAAAATTCAGTACCAGAGAACAACCCCTTGTTTAGAAAACCATATGAAAGGCTTAACTTGTGCACCTACCAGCACCATATCTTGTGAAGCAATAAATCAAACAATTAAAAGATATGAAGAACCTCAAATTGTTTGAGTAATGAAATATCTGAAAAGAGAGATGGAACAAAAGCAGTGCAATCAAAAACCAAGAATTTCAAAGCCTACTACTACCTCTGTATCATAATATAATGTCTTCACACAATTGGACTCAGTTTTCCCAACTAAATACTTTTTGCAGTCAGCATCCATATTGCAAATCAATGATGCCATGAACATCTCCTCTTCACCCTGACATCGAAATACAGATAACCTAATTCAAAACTAAATAATTTTACCAAAACCCCCCAGGGGGATATAATACATTGCAAACACACTATCTTGCTCAGAATAATGCATATTTTAGCAACTTTCACTGCATTGGATTTGATCATACAATTCGTGTTCTATCAAGACGGTTTAGGACATCACCTGGTACTAATACATGCTATAATTCATTCCACATTACAATGACATAATTTTGAAAAGTTGCAAAGCGTAAACAAGCACATAACAATGACTAATTCTAGGTGAATAATTATGTGATCAACCAATATATGTTATTATCCACTCCAAATATTCTTATTATTCCCAATTCAAATCTTCACCATAATTATCCGAGAAAAGATGCTCATTAAATTAAAATCTTCACCATAATTATCTAAGAAAAGATGCTCATTAAATATTTATTTATACTAAATAAAATTTTGAAGTGTTAATATTGATAAATCGAGGACCATACCAGGTTCTTACACTTATATCGACCAGATGGTACAAGCACAGAACTTTTTCCTGCTTTTGATGATAGAGGTAGACGGAAGCAACGATTCCGAGAATATACAGCAGTGTCCACAAAAAGCTGGCTTGAACATTCATCAGAGCTATCCTTCTTGACAAACAGATTTTCAAATCTTTCATCTTTTCCCCTTGCATTTCGAACTCGTGAGCATATCTGATAGTTTGTAGTCATCACATGGTGACACTAGTTAACACTTTATATAAGAAAGACCAAAATCAATGCAATGTCATAACTCAAATTCTCCTTCTCAAAAGTTATAGGGGGGGGGGGGGACAGCACATTGGTCATTAAAGAACTTGAATTATTTATGAAATCACTTTAAAATACAAAGGTATCACAAGTGATAGAAAATCAACCTCATTAAATACCATCTATGAATATGCTTAGAGAGTCAGACTTACTTCAGAAACAAATGCTCCTGCATGAGAGTTATCCTTGAAAGCAGTTTTTGGTATGTGCATAATTAGATGTCGAGAGAACTTCTCTACAAGTAAGATTAATATGAGATAATAAGCATTCAAACAGTAATTCTGAAACATAGGACTTGCTGCCACAGCACTGCTTTACAGGTATGTGAAGTGATAGCCAAAATGATGATAAGAACCTTGCCAAAGCAGTTAATACTTACTAGAGTGACACAAAAGGCTTTAATCATTCTAGGGAAAAAAAATACAACATGCCAATAAGAACATTACATGCCTCTTAGCACAAGAGCCTAGGCTCAAGTGATACTTCAACAAGACTCAATGAACCGAAATTTGTTTCCTATTCCACCCATTTCCCCACACCCAACTACTAGCCTTTTGCCTCCCTCCTTCATAACCAAAAATGGAATACTACATGTTTCTTACATCATTATAGGATAAAGGAGCCAAAGGTTATTGATTGTTCTTCCTTTCACTACATGAAGCAAAACAAAGGGAATGTAATGGTGCAGGCAAAAAAGCTACAACATAGATATAACAAAGCAATTGAACTCGAAAAAATCCATACCATCAGTTGAAGAGTCCATTTCTACTATCCATTCTGGGTCTCCGCAGATAAAATATTTTTCATTTAAGGCCTCTAGAATTACTGTGATCAAGAGATCCACCATTTCATCCCCATCCTTCCCGGGATTGACTCTCTTGTTGAACTCCAAATCAAAATAAAGGTGACATGGTAAACCCTGCGAGCAGAATATCATTCAAAATGTATGAGATCCAAAGATGAAAATTTGCCTAGTTGACTCATAATAGTACTGTATCAATCGTTCACTAAAATCAATGACCATGAAACACACAAGACTGTTACCTCTTGAATCACTTCATAATGATGACGCAATTTGGAATCCATATTTTTGTACCTAAATGATCATTGACCAACATTGTGAAAATGCATACATAGAACTTTCAATACCAATAGAAGCAATAAAAAATTAATCAAACGGAAAAGAAAACTACAAAAGTGACCTTCTCCAAAACTCTGTATACGTAGATGCAAGGAACCTTCTTTGTCCACTAAAATGGTCTTGATAACTAAAGATACGAACATGGTCTTGCCCTTTGGCAAACTCCATTGCTTCATCCTGCCTTGGGAATGTAACCCATACTTCCTCCCTGAACATACATAAACCATGAGTCAAGCTCACTAGTTCACATGATGAAAAACATTGTACAAAATGAATCATCATTGAAACAAAGTATAAACAATAAACTAACACCCCACACCTTGAACCTGATTTATTTTTCTCAAAAAGATCAAGACGTATCTCATGTAGCAAGCGCCAATAACGAACTGGTCTTTTGGGAGGTACTCCATGTGGAGATCCATAAAATACAACGGGAGAGACATGTTTCCCGTGACTAAAACCATTTGCTTTAGCTATAACTGATTTAATCTGAAAAGAAAATGCAAGGTAAATTAGATTGAAGTAAAAAGTACAATTTAATTGCTCCACTGCATCAGTATAAGTCCTTTTTGCAGCATCAGGTGTTGGCAACAATTACAAAACAGCCCCTAGTACAGCACAAAAACATAGGGGGTGTAATTAAGTAGCAATTACTTTCTCAATGGAAGACTGCACGCCTATTGCTTGGCCAGATGGAGAAATGGTGGATGTAGTGGGACTTTTCCGCTCTTTTACAACCGATTTGGGAGATAGAAGGTCAGAATGTGGTGAGATCTTATGTGTTGAACTTCCTTGATCCAATCTGCTTTTAGTTCTCTTTCTTTCTCTCACAGCAGATTCTGTGAAAATATATGTTTTTACGTCATTTATGGTATATTCATATTAAAGAGGGAAGAGTGAAATCACACACCAAATAGAAACTAATATCTAAATAAATATCTTCGTGTTTTTGTCATTAATTTGATGGACAATTAGCCATCTGTCAACATACACACACAGCCTGTGCTAGTCATTAATTTGAAGAACCATTAACCATCTATCACTTGATAATTATGTGCTGCTATTAGAGGATTAGTTATAAGTTAGTTAGGCTGTGAGGTATTTAGTTACGCATGTAGTTACGAGTTAGTATTTAGTTAGGCAAGTTGCTGATCTGGATTGGCACTGTACGGCATAGAGACACAATAGGAATAAGTTACACAGAAAGGGAGAACAATGAGGGCGACAAGAAACAAGGGCAAAATGGAGTAGACATGTTACGCAATTATCCACAAAAAAATAACACGTTTTACACCTTCTAGCATAACATAATGGTGATAGGTTAGTTGATAAGTGCACGATCGCTCTTTACAATGATGAAATCAAATTGGCCGTATAAAAACAAATTTTCAAAAAGCAATTTAAAGGGATAAAGGAAGGCAGATTTGATTTCAAATATTAAGGACCCAATCCAACATAATCAACGATTTGTGCTGAATGACTAGAAGCTATAAGTTTTAGAGAGAACAGAGAAGCGAAAGCTTACGAGGAGGAGATAAACCGCACTTGAAGCACGCGAATAAGCGATCAACATCGTCCATAGCAGTTGAAGACATTCCTCTTTCTCTCTGCGACGCAATGTTTGCTTCCCTTGGAATAGAATGAAAATCATTTTTCTGTTCCTCATCAACGGCGTAGAGGCGGAAATTTAAATTTTCAAGAAAGCTGAAAAACAAAGGGAAAAAAATCAGAAAATCAAACGCCTCCACCAACCTTCCAAAGACTTTCTCGTCATCATTCCTCGCAATCGCCTCCGCCAATTTCAGATCCCAACTGCATCGTTCATAAGTCCTGGAACGGAAAACCTTCCACACCGTCGATATTTCCGCAAGGGCGCTAATTAGATTTGGACGAGATTCAATAAGGTTAGCGGTGGGAGCAAATAGGGAGCAGATCAAACGGCAGTGGTTCGATTCTCCGTCGGCGGTAGGCGAATGGCCACCGGAGTGTGTGGAGGGAGGTCAAGGGAAAGAGGAGAGACATTGGGAATTTAAGAAATATTTTAAGTATAATTTAGTCCAAAAAAAAAAAAATTCAACCCCGGAACTGATTTCCCTTTCCCAATTCCCATAAAATATCGAAAACAAAAACATTATTACAAACTTTGATCTTTTAAACTTGTTTTCATTTTTTTAACAAAAAAAAACTTGTTTTCATTTTAATTTTGGTCTCTCAATATTCAAATTATAGGTTTGAGTCCCTTAAGTTTCTTTTTATTTATAATATTGGTTTCTATAATCTAATAAAATATTAGATCATTTTACCTCTTGACAGATCAAAACCTATAGTTTGAAATTTGAAGGATTAAAACAAAAATAAAGACAAATTTAAAAGATCAAAGATTATATTAACTCAAACCAAAAATACACATAAACTTTTAAAAAGCGAGCTAAAAAACATATCCGTTACTTTTTTTGTCGTAGGTCTCATTTAGTGTCTACGTAATTTGTACTCTCTTTTTTTTTACCAGCACGTAATTTGTAATTTGTACTCTAACCGGTGGAAACATGCCGACTCACATCATATTCATCCTATTTGTCTTATTCTCTTCCTTCTCCATAATTACCTCACTTTAAATTATTTTTAATTTTTTTTCCATTAAAAAACATCACCATCTCTCTTTTCTTCCTTTCCTTTTTGTCCCCTTATGGTCCCTCAAAAAATCTTTCCTCCAGTCGCCTCCTCTAGCTCTTTGATTAAGATGATGAAGACAATGATCTAGAATGGACAAAGCCTCCTAGATGCGCCTCTTCCCAACAACTTGTCAAGGCCAGCTCAAACTTTACCCTAACATCACAATCTTGTTTCTCTTTGTCTCTAGCAGACGGAAATCTAAACCTCGTCGTCACTCCGCAATCAAAAATCGAAAGCTCCTCATTACTCGAAGAGTTGAAGCATCGTGTTCGCCGATGCAATTGTGCTCAGAAATTCGACGCCTCAACCTTGTTGATGCCTAAACCTTGCTATGCTATCTTAATATGTGATTCTTGGTAGTCCCGTATCATGCTTTCACTTTGAGATTGATTTAGCTTGGCGGCGGCATTCTCTGAAAAGGTTTAGGGCTAATATTGGGCGTTCCTTGTCGATTGAGACTTGACAGAGAAAAGGAGAAAATTCTTGCCTTCAAGGTGTGGATTCCTCATGCCTAAATCTCTCTTTTCATTCAAACTTTCAATGATGCAGTCATAGTTTTCTTTGGCTTTTACATTTGTGTGGATATTTTCGTTTGATTTTGAGTAGTCAATTTGTTGGCGTTCAGCTATGCGAATCTGTTACGATGCTGGTTTGAAAATTCTTTTTCAATCTATGCAAATATTTAGTAGACGTTCAATGTATGTATTTTGGGTTTGCTTTATGCTACAGTGGAAGGAGGAGGACAATGGAAGGGGCCAATTGTGATAGTGGCACTGGTGGGATGATGGTGAAAACCGGAAAGGGTCGGTCATGAGGACGAAGAGAAGGGACGACAGTGGCTTGGAAGAATTTTCATAATTTTTAGATTTTTCAATTAGGATATTATTATTCCACATATGCACCCATATCAGCATCATTTTTAAGTCTAAATGTTCTCTAACAAACCGCTGAAGCAATTAATGGCATAGGCATTCTTGCCCCGTTTCCATAAGCTCATATGCATTTTTGCTCCTAACGATTTATTATGATGGCTGATGCTCTTTTTTGATATTATAATGGGTAAACTTCACCCTAAAATAAACTACACTAGTAACAATGTTGATCCTAACCCTTTCAATGCATGCTTTTACTCCCCCTCTCCCTTATTAGTTATTATAAGAAATAATTATCAAAATCACACTATTAAAAATATTAGTTAAATTTAATTAAAAACAATAAATATGTAATATATATTTATTAATTATACCCTTGGTTGTAAAGAGGGTATGTGAAAGATGATCAGTGAAAGTTTATTGCAAGGAGATAATAAATAACAAATATATAATGAGGATAGAAGTGAAAATATCAGTTTAAAATTTCATAAAAAGAGAATTTGTTTATTATATTTAGAATATTACTATGAGAGAGTTTGTTATAAAAAAAGGACAAAGGAAGTAATATATATTTCGTCTATCTTAAGATATAAACATAAAATAACTAATTTAAAAAGTTGGCTAAAATTGGTTAAAGATAAAAAGATATTAAAAAATACAAAATAAAGTGGGAAAATGAGGCAAAAAAGATAATAAAAATGTAAAATACTCTGAATATTGATAAATAACAAATTAAGAATTACTATAAAAATATGTTGATACTTACTAGTAAGTCCTAAAATAAATTAGTAATTGTCATTTCCTACTCCAAAATTTGTCCTTTTAAGCTGCTCTATTATAATTGGGACTTTTTGGTACTTATAACTTTTTCTTAGGATTTTATAGCAATTCTCTCTACAAAATAAAAGAATTAAAACTAAAATATGAGCAAAAAAGAGGGGGCATGAAAGATGAGGAGAGGGAAGGTGAAATGGTCGGAAATTGACACGCAACTCCTAGTAAGACAAAATGAGGAGGCATGTGGTTCAGCTTCAATCCTATTCGCCATGCTTCTCTTCTTCTTCTCCCTTGTCATTCTTCTTCCCCGTCTTAACCTCTAGAACACTCATTCGACGGTCACCCAGAGCACTCAATTTTTTTTGTTAGTGTTGTGCAAATCTGGGAGGATGAAGAAGCACAGATCAATGACGATGATAAGTAAATGAATAAAAAAAGCATAGACACACACATGCGGAGGAAGACCAAGGATGATGCTGTAAACTTAAGAGGGATGAAAGGGATGGGAAAGTGAAAGGGACAGTGTCGCAACTGAAAATGGGAAAATCAGAAAATAATATTTGGAATATTAAAAAAAATTTAAAGTATTTATTAATATGATTAAGCACCGAATCAGGCCAAACTGATTGGTCCTAAAGGTTAGTACGAGGCGCAGGGGACGCTTTCCTAAGCTTGACTAAAATGTTATTGCAAATCTCAAGAGAAATCTGGGTTAATCTAGACAATTAACCCGGTCTAGACTGAGTCCAACAAAAAAAAAACCCGGTCTAGACAACTTGGACTTGTGTTCGGGTTGATTTTTTTAGCTCCAATCTCAACTAAGTTGGGTTTGGCTAGACTGAGTTACTTAAACTGTTAGGTTTTTTGCACGACCTCAAATTGGGTGATTCTTTTTTTCCAACAACAATTAGGTGATTCTAAATATTGAGAAAATAGAGAATTTGATAGCAGACGAGTTTCTGGATGAGTTGGCACATGTAGCGAGTTATGACAATGAATCTTAACCCTAACTACATGGCAATATGTGTCCATAGGTATGCTTAGTTAAATTTTAGTGTTACATCTTTGCTTACCGCCATAACCAATGGCATTCATGAAATTCTTCAACAGAAGAACTAATACTTTTGATGGTATAGACTAAGGATTCAGTATAAAAAGGTTATAAAGCCCTAACTAAAAATTGGGAAAATTATGAGGATTGCTATATTAGTTTTTCCAAATTTTTAATATAGAAAATGAGTGAATATATAATTAGTACGAAAAATGATAGAAAAAATACTGTTAAAAAATTTTGAAATTCTAAATTGAGGATTCAAATTTCAATAATCTTATTGGTATAATTTAGACATTTGAAATGTTGGAAAAAAGGCATCATTACTCTTACCTTTTTCTTTTGTAAAAGCCCACTTGCCAGTCTTACCATCAACTAGCCACTAGAGCTCCAACAAACCTTCTGGTACAATAGTTTGCATTTGAAGCTCTAGCATTGGTGACCCTCAACCTCTGCTAGCTGCCGGCATGGTTTATATTACATTTTTCAATTTTTCAATAAGAGTAGTAGTAGCAAAATAAATATAGTAAATAGTCAGCAATAAAAGCATTCTCCATGAAGTTATTTAAGCGTAGGAGTAAGTTGTAAACTTGTGGCAAAATAGGTGACCATTTACTTGAATAAATTTATGGAGAAACCCCCTCTTGCTTTGTTATTACTTATTATTCAAAAAATGTATTATTTATTATATTTACTTCGTTATTTACTAATCTTGTTTCGAAATCCGAAAAATGTACTAGGAATTTTCACACTTGAATAAATTTATGAATGATAATGAGTTTATTAGGTCTAAATTTATGTAAAAATTTAAATTAAATTGTGATGACATAACGTAAATCTTTTTTTATTTAAATTGCATAATTTTTTAATTTTACTGGGATTATATAATTTTAATTTTAATTTTTAATTATGAAATTCTTTAAATTTTTAATGGCAATATATATACTAAGTCAATGACAAGAATATAAAAGAGAACTACAGTAAGATAAAAGGAAATTCTAATTAAATCCGTTTAAAAAACTCACATTTAAATTTATTTTTTAACTATGAAGGGGGATTATAGTCTTTTAACAATGTTAAGAAATTCCTAATCAGGCCTACTGGCTTTATTAGGAATTTATTAGAATTAATATGTAAGTTTAAATTTAGATTTTGGCATTTTAACTGGTTATTGATATTCTTCTAATAATAAATTCACTCAGATTGGACGTTATTTGCTTTGGTAAATAGCAGCCTAAGAAATCATAATAGTGTTTTATATGAAAGAATCATGATATTAGTTTTAAAATGCTATTTTAAAGAGTCTCCCTTGTGAATATTACTTACGTTTCAAACACTTTCATCATATATCTACCTGAAAAAGTAAAGGCTTATCAACATAATGATATATTATGCTACTGCAGAAAAGACGCTTTACCGTGGTTTTAGGGCCGATGTGAATGCTTGTCGATGTGAAAAAATGGAGCATAACGGTTATTAGACTATTGCGGAAAGTATTTTCCATGGCGGTTAATTACCAAAACTGTCATAGAAAGTCCTCTACAAGTATTGTTTTACGGCCTACTTTCCACGATGATTGGTTTAATAACCACTACGGAAAATAGTTTCCACAGCAATTTACTATATATCTATCATGAAAGGTTTAATTTTTTTTTTATATATAATTTGTTTTATTTCTTGCACAGCCTCGTTGTATTGAAACAAATCAAAACACACCAATTTCCAGCTAGCAAACCAAACAGACCATGCAGTAAACAATTTGGAGCTATCATAAGCATTCTATTTTATTTCAAAATCCAATTAAATTATATACTAACATTCAATTCAACTAAAACTCAACTAAACCTACTTTGATTAAAACTTAATAAACATGTTAATGCCAAAACTCAAATCTAACAATTAGATAACCAAAATTTCCAATTGAACTAAACCTAATGAGCAATTCAATTGATAAACCAATTCCTAGTTCAATTAACCTCTAATAAATCAAAAGACCTAACCAATGCTAAAATTTTCACAATGTTCATCAACCCATATATTCAACTATTATTATTGACAACTAGTCCCTTATTGCGTTGATTTCTTCGACTTCATATTCCTCTTCATTTTGAAATGCCTGCAAAATAGAAGGAACCAAAATAATTAATCAAGTATTAAAAATGTGAAAAAAAAATTGAAGAATCACAAAGTATTAATTGTGTCACTTCTATTTATCTCATGTAGTTTCTCAATGACCCCTGTCTCAATGATGTCATAAATATAGTAAATCACATAATATCCATGATAAAGCCCAATTTTTATATATTTTATCCCACATTAATTTAGGATTTAAATGATAATTTTGAGCTTAAATGAACTTTTTATGCATTATTGAATTAATTGGTTGATTTTTGGATTTTGGATAAAAATTGAGATTTTGGATTAAAAATATAGATATTTTGTGATTTCCTATTTTGACTTGGAATTAATTTTTCCTATTTCTTTGGAAACAAGTCTCATATTTTTAGAAAGATTATTTTTAGAAAGTTTTGCAATTTCTTGCCTAATTTTTATGCAGATCTGATATTTAATTTTTGATTATATTTGGATATAATCTACATTAATATATGCACTTAAATTCTTGTAGGTCGAGAAAGAGCATATGAGAAATCCAATGGTGCAAGATTGTTTCTTGGGATTTAAACACAATCCGATGACTAATTTTCAGAGGACAATTCAACACCTAATGTCCGGAGGGACGGATCACGTTGAGGCTGGCGGTCAAGAGAATTATTCACTTCTCCATTCCTGCGTAATGCCCATAAATTCCCCTCCTTCACGTCACGCAACCCATGAGCAATTGAATAACCATCTTTCTCTCACATCCATTTCCCTGAAGCGATCCCGCTCCCACCTCCACATCATCATCACCTTTCATCAATTCATGGCCGTAGCATTTAACAATTTTGGAGGAGAAGGCAATTGATGGAAGCTTAAGCTTGTTAGGGAGGCAACTTGGGAGGAGCATGGAAAAGACTAGAGCCTTGGGCTAGCACTTGAAGACCACAAGGGAGTGATGTTCCATTTATCTTTTTAATTCAAGGACTTGAGATTATTTAGTTTTAAATAATTTTAAGTTGTATTTTTGTTGAGACAATTTAGTTTAGATTGTCATCTTTATTCTTGGATTGGATTGATATTTGGATTTTATTTGTGTTGAGACACTTGTTGGAATTTATGTTTAGAACCTTTGCATTGTTAATTGAATTTATAATTGAGTTTTCATTATGAGTTTAATTATCAATGTGGTTT